AAAAAAAAAAAAAAAGAAAGAAAGAAAAGGAAGGCTGGGCACAGTGGCTCATGCCCGTAATCCCAGCACTTTTGGGAGGCCAAGGCGGGCAGATCACCTGAGGTCAGGAGTTCAAGACTAGCCTGGCCAACATGGTGAAACTCTCTCTCTAATAAAAATACAAAAATTAGCTGGGCGTGGTGGCAGGTGCCTGTAATCCCAGCTACTCGGGAGGCTAATGCAGGAGAATCGCTTGGACCCGGGAGGCAGAGGTTGTGGTGAGCTGAGACTGTTCCAGTGCACTCCAGCCTGGGCAACAGGAGCAAACCTCTGTCTCAAAAAAAAAAAAAAAAAAAAAAAAAGATTTTTAATAAAAGTTTAACCTGGTCGGGCACAGTGGCTCATGCCTGTAGTCCTAGCACTTTGGGAGGCTGAGGCAGGTGAATCAAAAGGTCAGGAGCTCGAGACCAGCCTGGCCAACATGGTGAAACCCCGTCTCTACTAAAAATAATTAGCCCAGTGTGGTGGCACACACCTGTACTCCTAGCTACTCAGGAGGCTGAGCCAGGAGAATCACTTGTGCCCAGGAGGCAGCCTGCAGTGAGCTGAGATCACACCACTGCACTCCAGCTTGGGTGACTTTTCTTTTTCAAACAAAAAACTTTCACGTTTTTAGGGTCAAAATGTTTCAACATCTGGGATTTGCTTTAATATTCTTTCAGAAACACACACATAAAAAGGCTGGGTGTGGTGGCTCACACCTGTAATTCCAACACTTTGGGAGGCCTAAGCAGGCAGATCACTTAAGGTCAGGGGTTCTAGACCAGCCTGGTCAACATGGTGAAAGCCCGTTTCTACTAAAAATACAAAAATTAGCCAGGCGTGGTGGTGTGCACCTGTAACCCAAGGTACTCGGGAGGTTGATACAGGAGAATTACTTGAACCCGGGAGGCAAAAGTTGCAGTGAGCCAAGATCGCCGCTGCACTCCAACCTGGGTGACAGACTCTGTCTCAAAGAACAACAAAAAGAGACACAAAAAAAGGATGAACGATGGTAATATCTGGTTGGCCCAGGTGGCAGCCCAGGCTCCGTGTCCTGCTTCCCGACTCTGGGCTCCGGGTGTCTGAATTGCTGCAGGCAAGCCTGCCTGGCTCGGGCCAGCACCTCCATCTCCGGTTGGGAGCAGTGCCTGGGCCTCAGCTTGTATCCGGAAGGCGTAGCACAGGGACCCATGAGGCCATAGTCAAGGGCCAAGTGTTTGGGGGTGGTGGCAGGGGTTGTGGCCTCCTGGGGACCCTCCCAGTCCCCAGTGCCCCTCAGCACCATGCTCGCCAGGCCCATGGGCGAGGAAGAAAACACGCAGCCTGGGCCCCTTGCAGCCGCATGCAGTGTGACCACAGCTGAGCAGCACCGCTCTGCAGGAGTGGCTGCCCCACAGCCACAAGGACAGGATCACAAATCAGGATCCTCACATGGGCTGGGATCTGACCACTTTCCTGGCCCTCGCCCCACCACCCACTCCAGCTGCACACATGCACACCTGTGCACACACACACACGTATGTACTCAGCCTCTGGCCAGCGACAGGAGGCAGAGGCACTGCCTCAACTGAGCTCTTGGAGCTGGGCAGCACCCCTCCTTGTTCTCCTGCCCCTCAGTGGGTGGCTGGTCCTACTGGGTGCCTGGGCCCAGTGCAGCTGCCACAGGCCAGGCCACCAGGCTAGGCTGGAAGAACAGGGTGAAGACGGCAGAGCCCCTGGGAGAGTGTCCTGGGACCAGACCTCCAGCTTGAGGGCAGCAAACACCTCACCTGGCCCTTGCTCTGCAGGCTGCCCAACTTCATCAGTGGTGGGGCAGCCCCTATTGGGGCCTGCACCACAGTGCCCTCTGTTCCCAGGCCTGCTCAGCTCTTTGTAGGGTCCTGGAACGCCCCTTCGTTGACCGCAGTGAGAAATGAACCCACCTCTAATGAAAGTCCTGGCAACGAAATGCAGCCCACAGGCCTGACTGTGCTGCTGTGTCAGCTCAGGTAAGGGGGTGCCTTGGCAGACTGGGCCGCCAGGTGGCAGGTTTACTGGGCATGCCGGATTTCTCCACACTGAGATGGGGATGTGTGCGTGCAGGACAGAGGAGCGCTCATCATGCAGAGGCTGCGTGGTCGGAACAGTCCCATCCAGGTTGCCTTGTTTTGAATCCGACTGTGGTGGAGTTTTCAACTCCACTCTGGGTGTCTACCCAACAGAAGCCTGTGAACCCCCACCCGCCCCCGCCACCCCATGCAACTTGCTAACCTTCAAACAGATCCATCTAACTACCCCAGTCTGATGGGCTGCAGGAATGTGGGGGCAACGAGGCCTCAGGCTAACCCAGGATTGGGGTACAGTTTATATATTTGGGGCCTTTTCACAAAAAGATGAGGGTGCAGAAGGGTCCCTGAAGGCCCCAGAGGTGGCAGGGAGAGCCCGAGCCTGGTGTCTGCAGGCTGATGAGAACCACAGCACAGTAGCCATGGCCAACAGGGTGCTCAGAGCGCATCATTTTTAGGGCCATTCTAGGACCTTCCATTCCCGCTCTCTGTAGGTTTCTCAAACCTCTTGCTCTGGCATTGACCAAAAGTTTACCCAAGCAGCAGGCCTTCACTGGCACCTCCAGTTCATTCAGCTGGTTCTGAGAACTTCAGGGAAAGTCTGTGGAGCTGCTCCCACCCTACTCCGCAAGGCCCGCCAGCCCCTGCTGGCCTCCTCTGCGCAGTGCAGAGGCTCATTCGGGCCCAGTGCAGGAGGCAAGGGGGCGGAGCTGAGAAGCAGGGGCTTATCTCCCAGGGGCCAGTCAGAGTGACGGATGGGCCGACGCAGGGTACGGTATGCCTGCACAGGGCAGCAGCCCCAAGGGCTTAAACTGTCCCCAGCTGCAGTGAGCCATCTGGTGACATCTGTGACATCTGAACCAAAGACTGCACTTGGCAGTTACATCTTCCCAGACAGGCGCTCGCCGGTCCTGAGAGTACTGCAAAGGCTTATCACTGAGGAAGGGATATTACCCTTGAACCCTCAGGCATCCACACATCACACCTCCCTCCCTCCGTGCCTCCACTACGAGCCGTGAGCTGGCACTGAGAACACAGCCACCTCCACACGGGGCCTGAGACGGAACAAGGGCCTTCCTGAGTAAATGCAGTGACCCAGCACACACAGCACTGCCGCAAGAAAGCATGGCTCAGTCACAGTAAAATCCTAGTTAAGGATGTGGCTCGCTGGTTGCAGATGGAAACTTCTGGCAACCCAGAAACCAACTGTGAGAGTTCATCAAGAGGGACATGATCCCACCACCACCTTTAGGTAGACACCAGTGCTACACATCGAGTGTTGCAGCTCAGACATCCACCCACCCCAGCCCTTCCCCACGTGCGCTCGCTTGCCCGCTCATCTGGCTCTGCAGACTCCACAGGGCCAGCACGATGTCATTTGTTCCGCAGTTTGCTGCTGAGTCCTGCTTCTGTCACTGCCCTGCCCACTTCACTGAAGAATGAGCAACCTGGGAGAAGGTGCCTGGCCAGCTGTGGCCCAGCAGGGATCCAGGCCATGACCATTCTCCAAGGCGTGCCGTCATCCCCGAAAGATCAGTTCTCTGGGAGGAGACTGCTATCTTCACACTGTTCCACATCTTCAAATAAATATGCATTACCTTTCAACCTTGGAAACAAGGCACGTCCGAGGTGGAAGGGGCTCTGAAGCTGTGTGCAAAGCATGCTGCATGCTGAAGGGAACCCGCCCCTCATGTCGGGGAACATACCCGTGAAACTATCAACTAAAATGCCCGCTGCCCTCAGGGCTTGGCCAGAAGCAGGCCCAAGGAACAGTGCTGAAATTTTAGGTGACTGGAATTTGTATTTCTGCTTCTGAATAAACATTCTGTATACAACTTATTAAACACTTGGAAAATTTGTTCCCAATTAAAGTGAATTTGTACCTACATATTTTAAAATACCACATAAACAGCTGGGCGCAGTGGCTCACGCCTGTAATCCCAGGACTTTGGGAGGCCAAGGTGGGTGGATCACCTGAGGTTGGGAGTTCAAGACTAGCCTCACCAACATGCAGAAACGTCGTCTGTACTAAAAACACAAAAATTAGCTGTGCGGTGGTGCATGCCTGTACTTGGGAGGCTGAGGCAGGAGAATCACTTGAACCTGGGAGGCGGAGGTTGTGGTGAGCCAAGATTGTACCACTGCACTCCAGCCTGTTGGACAGAGTGAGACTGTGTCAAAAAAAACAAAAAACAAAAACCAAAACCAAAAAAACCCACATACACATGGATTGAACCTGTAGAGGAATGGTAAGAAAAACAAATGATTACTCAGCCACTGCGCACGTCAGAAATAAGACTTTGCTGGACAGTGTCACAGGTGAACACAGTGCGAGTTCAGGGAACGAGGCTCTGACTGCACTGGTGCTCACGGAGGCTGCGATCCTGTCGTAGCAGCAAATCCCTGATCTTCCCGCCTGTCTCTGTGGTCCTTCCACAGATCCAGTCTGTTTTTCTGACCAAGCACCCCAGAGCTCTCACAAGTCACGTTCTCTGAGCAGTTTGTAACTCTGAAGCCTGCCCAAACAGACACAACTACTAATGCTTAACAAATGTTTCTAAAAGATAAAAATGCTTTGCAGAAACAAAAGAGTGCTTTAGGTTTATTGCTATAAAAAAACATACGCTTTAAACTAGGGTCCATGAGGATTAACTTTCAACAGCAGGGGCTGTCAGGACGTGGACACCCCCAGCCACGTGCTGCACAAGGTGAAAGGAATTTGCTCTACAACCCTGTGTGGGGGAAATAAAAGTAACCCAGCGTCCATTTAATGCAGCCAAGTGAAATTCCTTTCCCACCTTACAAAGCACCATTAGATAACACAGCTGAACTGATCCTGCAGAAAGGTCCCTGGAGGGTTACGCCATGGTCATAACTAACACCACATTCCCATTTTGTTTGCTGGATAATTTTTTAATAAAGTGAGGTGTACATCACTGGTATTTAAGAATGGCTATATGCACAAAGGAAAACAATCCTTTTTGGCTAAGGGGCAAGAAAGTTAGAAAAAGCATGAGAAACAGGAAACACGTGGGGTGAGGCGGGGCAGGAGCGCAAGGTTGCAGGCACCAGCAGCTCACTCCCTGCGGCAGGAACCGTGACCCTACAGATCAAGGGGCCATGAGCGACAGGGATTCAGATTTCTTTCATTCTAGACTTCAACCTAACCTCAACCTTTTGCTCCAGCACCAATCTGAGAGAGCAGCGCAGGCACTCCTAATGCAGCAGCAACGCCATTTCCTCCCCCAGGGCAGGTGCCTGGGCTGCCCGATGGGAGCCTCCAGGAACACCGTCTGTCAGAAGGCACCAATGAGAGGCTCTGAGGTCTCTGAAGACCAACTGGTGCCCTAGATCTGCAAACACATATCTGACCTTTGTTTTCAATGGCATTTACATATAAATAGACATAAATAAAATCCTCCATAATTTATGCTTATGTCTAGGAACACGTGGCTCCCAGATTTTCTAATGACAACAAAGTGTAGGAGCTGCGTGCGGTTCCTGATCTTCACCCAGGTCTCACTGGCACAGAACAGAATGGAGAAGTGTCGCGCACACACATTTCAAGTAAAACATGATACATTCACACTGCTGACTCAGACTGTAGTGATGCTCACTGCAAAAAAATCCCTTATTTAAACCTTAAAACAATGAAACACCAACTGCAATTGTTTAGGCTATAAAAGTTCTAATGTAGCAGCAAAGGATGTTTATAGAAAAAATATACTTTTAAGAAAATAGCTGAAAAAATCTAAACAGATAAAAGTATAAAAAGTTTAAAAAATATATCTTAAGACAAAATAACACATCAAACTGAATTGTAAAAAATTCACCCATCTAAATTAAAGGAGGGTGATGCAGCTTTGGCTCACCGTCCTCTACAGTGGGAGACACAAAGAGGGACAAGGGGCCAGGGCTGTGGGGACATCAGGACTGGCCCAGAGGTGACAAGCCTTCCAGAACAGCCTCTGCCTGGCCCTCCACAGGGGGAATAGCGAGTGGGACGGGCCTAGGGCTGCAGACTCTGCTGCTGATGCGCTGTCCTGGGATTTCTCAGAACAGCAGACGGGCAGCAAGGCTGGGCTGCTGGTGGCAGGCGCACCCTCCGTGGGAGCCAGTGCTCACATATCCACGTGTCAAGACACGGCCGCGAGCGCTCAAGGCTCCGGCTCAGGTCTCCACCAGGATCTCCACCACGTGGTCCAGCTCGCCCAGGTCGGACTTGCAGCTGGAGCTGGGGCCTGGGGTGGCTGGAGCCAAGCCTTCGAGCCCTTCACAGGGGCCCGGCCTGGCGCCCCCCACCATGCCTGTCAGTACTGTGTCCAGGTCGTAGTAAGGGCTGTCCACGTCTGAGAACAGCTCTTCCATGCAGCCGGGGTTTTTAGTCTCCAGCGTTTCAAATATCTGATCGAGTGACTTGTGAAAGCCGCCTCTGTTTTCTCGAGGGCCATCCAACTCCCAGATGCCGCTCTGTGGGTGCCTCGGCGCCTGTGCTAAGGTGACTGGACAAAGGTCAGAAACCGGGCCCTGTACGTGGCCGTCTCCCAAGCCAGGGGCAGGACGTGCCCCCTCTTGCTCCCATGCTGAGCGGCACAGGATCTCTGTGGAGACCAAGCGGTCAAGTGGCGCCCGCCCTGCCGCCTGGGGTGTCACTGCGCGCCACGTCCCATCCTGTGTCATCTCCTCTTGGATCTGCCGGACCGTGTTGGCAATGAGGACTGAGCGGCACAGGTTGGGCTCCACAAGCATGTGGCAGAGCTGCAGCTTCACCAGGGACATGTCCAGGAGCGACTGCCGCTGCAGGCTGTAGGAGGACACAGTCTTCAAGCCGGACAGGGCTCCCTCCATGTCTTCCTCGTGGCCAACACATTTCCTCTTCAGTCCTCGTGTAAACATTGCGTCCTGCAGAAACCAGGGAAGACACCACTTAGCACACGGCAGACTCGCTGGCAGGCCAGGCCCCCTGGGTCCCATCTGACTGCCCTGACTGTCCTCGAGCAGCAACTGCGTAACTGGCAAGGAAGTCACAGCTGAGAGGTGGAGCCCAGTGGGAGACCCCCCCCCCCCCCCCAGATAACTGCCATCCTGCCTAATCCAGCCACAGCCATGTTGGAAACGACAAACCTTTCAACGGCACCATAACAGTGTTCTCCAGCAGAAAAGATAAATGAACTAAAAATAGGAGCAATACGTAAGAGAAATATAAGCGTTCAAGAGCTTGGCTAAAAATCTATCAAAAAATCTAATAGTGGTGCCTACAAAAAGAAGAGACCCTTTGGTAACGTTGAGATAAATGTGAACGGTGCCAGCCTGCAGAGGGCCGCAGGGCTGGGGCAGGGCCCAGCGCACACACCTACCATTCCGACTTCCGTCAGGATCCTGTCTGGGACAAAGTCACGTCTGCATCTCAGAAGGGCTAGTGTCCTCCCCACTCAATGCTTTCACTAAAAGCCTTTCCATGTCGCAGGCAGCCGTGCTGGAATGCTGCGCCACCAGGAGCACACAGGGGAGGGACGGAGGGGCCATAAGCTCTCCCCATGCAGCGAGTAGGCTGTTTGGTGCACAATTCTCCAAGGGACACAGGGTCCTCTGGCCGAGCCCATGCGGCCCCGGGCAGCCCCTTGCTCCCACACCTGCCATGCTGCCTGCCTTAGGGCTCACATCCATTCCTTGGCCCCGCCCCTGCACCAGTTCATTCCTCCCAAGGTGCAGAGGCTCTGCCTGGCCCTCTTCTATTTGACACATCTCAGGGCCAATGCTCTCCACTCCAGGGCTCTGCTTGAACACAGGCCACCTTCCCTCTCATCCCAACTCCTTTCTCTTCAAAGGAACCAAAAATGGCAGGGAATGTGTGTTGGGGGGTTCTCCACCAGCGTGTTGTGGCAGTCCACGGCTGACCAAGGCAGCCTTTCTCAGCATATGCCTCGGTGCTGGTGCTGCTGTTTGAAGATGCAGATTCCAGGACCTCATCCCAGACCTGGGCAACTCCGAGCTGGCACCTCAGGCTCCGCCTCACTGGGACAGCTTCCCTCAGATGCACAGCACAGATGCACTAGATGGACACTGGCCATGCCCACTCTTAGAAGTAAAAGTCTGCGTAAACTGTTTTTTCCAACTGATTCTAAATTGGGACATCTCTGGGGCATTAAAGGCAGAGCAGAGAGAAGGGTGGGCTCTGGCTTTTGACAGGTGCCACTCTGAGCCAGTGCCATCTTGTGGGGAGCTGGGAGGATGACAAGTGGCTCAGGGCCACACTGGTGTGCAGTCTGATAGGACAAGCATGTCATGCAAAATTAAGTTTCTCTCTTCTCATGCTTGTAATGTAGCAAAATGCTTTTATTTCAAATAATTTGTTATGCACAAATAGGGTTACAATCTTTTGAATATGCAAACTTTGGAAGTTCTTTTTCTCTTAGTCAATCTGATGGCTCCCAGGGTGTACCAGGTGCTTTTGGAAAGCTGGGGTACAAGAGGTGTGTGCTGTCTCTGCTCGGGCTCTGGAGACGAAGGATGGGAGGTTTTGCATTGCAGAACAACTAGCTACCAACCATAACCCTCCCCAGGAGCCCCTCTGGAGGCTCCCACCTGCTGGTCCTACCCTTGAATAGACAGAAGAACGGTTCCCCCTGTTCTCTGAATTTCCTGTCAGCATCATAGATCTCACTGCCTGTGCAGTTAACATGCCTGCATTTTATAAAAGTAAGTGACCTCTTGGGCATTTATCCCAGAGAAATGAAAACCCAATGCCCATGCAAAAACATGTTCCAGAACGTCCGAAGCACCTTTATTTGTAGTAATTCCAAACTGGAAACAAGGAAAAAGTCTCCTTCACCTGGGCATGGTGACACACAGTCTG